CCCCCGGGGGGGGGGGGGGGGGCAGCCTCTCCTCCCGGGTACATTCTCTTTCCCTTTTGCTTGTCTCTTTTTTTCTAGATATATATTCCGACTTTATCTTTTTGTGTTTCTGCGGCAGGTCTTTCTTTTCTCTCTAGACTTTGTTTTTGTTCTTGGTTTTGAATATTTCAGTGTTTTCTGGTTAAAAATGTATGCTGGGTGGCTGATTAAACCCATGCTCTGGACATATGCTTTAGGTACTGTGTTCTTACTAGTGAAACTCATGCCTGGATTACTTTGAATAGAATATATTTATGCTGGTACTTGTCTGGTATTTGGGCGCATAATGTGGTACTTACCTGTATATCTGGGCGCATAATGTGGTACTTACCTGTATATCTATCTTAATGATCATACCCTGTTTATTTATAAATATAGAATTATAAAATAAAATTACCTTTCCATTTAAAACTGTAGCTACTGTAAAGTTCCAAATCTGTTAAATTAAATACAACATGTTGACCTGGATGTGTTCTGTACACAGTAGGTGTACAGAACTTCCCCAGAAATGTCACTTCCTGCTTCTGTGATTGGCTGACTGATTTTCCCAGAAGCCTGAACTAAGATACAAGTACAATTTCTGTCATCACTTGTAATAGGAAATTCCATTTTTGGTGACATACTCACCAAGCGATAATTACTACTAAAGGGATGCAGACACTGCACCGCTCTCGGGTGTCGTGCGGTCCTGCACAATGCAGGCAGCGATTGCGGTGCGGCCCCATTGATTTCAATGGGGTGACATCTGCGCGGCAATCACAGAAAAAAAGTACAAGTACCTTTTTTTGCGATACACGACACACGGCTGTTTAGCCGAGATCTGTTCGGGAGCACGGGCGCTATCCGCTAGGCGCGACTGGGATGCCCTTAGAAAATAATGGCACCCACAGCGCAATCGGTTCACACCTTGGTGACTCCTGACCGCGCGGCAATCTGCACGGAATCGTACACGATTGCCGCATGGTGAGGTTTCCCCCAGGTGTGAACCTAGCCTGAGTAATCAGTCTGAGAAGGACATGCTGCAACAAACAGCTTTTTCTTCAGAACAGAAAGTTGGTTAAAATCCTTGCAATGTACAATGATTAACCAGAGGGGATTAATTTTTCCCCTCCACAAAAGTGGAGCTACTCTTTAAAGCTCATCTTCAGACCAGCAGTCAGTTAGAGGGGGGTGGAGGGAATAGGGGGAGCTTGAAATGTCCATTTCATGCAAAAGATTATGCTTGTAGTAAGCATTTTCATGAGGAAATATTTATAACGGTAAAAGAAAGAATGTCATTAAATGAGCCATGCAGCTTAGTCAATTGACTCTGAATATTCAACTTCCTTTTTATTATGGTATTAGAAGTATACGGGAAGAAGGGTTTACATTTAACAAAGTAAATTCTAGGGATGTTCAGATACCAGTTCAGATACTTGGCATTTTCACGAGAACTACCAGGGTTGCAGCTGGGACCGGGCTCTGGTGCTCCACCACTGCCCTCAAATCATTAGTCTGTGACGTCATGTGACAACAAAAATTCATCAGTACTTTTATCTGTAAGTACTTGGACAAGTATCAGTACTTGTAAAAAATGTACTCGGTGCATCCTTTATATATATTTATAACAAAAAATCATACATTAAAACAGGAATACACAAATCCCAGGAGCTCCGTATGGCCTTTAACCACTTCAAGACCAGGTGTTTAGACCCCCTTCCTGGCCAGGCCATTTTTCAGTATTCAGCGCTGCGGTACTTTGACTGACGTTTATTCCGTCATGCAACGCTGTACTGAAATTAGTTTTATACCATTTTTTGGGGACAGATAGGGCTTTCTTTTGGTGGTATTTAAACACCAC